TAGGGAAATTTAACTAATTTGTTGTGTTTTTTTTTCCACACTTACTGAGAAAATTTATGAAAAGAGTTGTAGCCGCAGCACTGATGGATACAAAAGATCTTAACAGCTTGAGGTGTAAGATTTTTCATCTTCTAGGAAGGAAAGATTATAAAGTATTGAAATAGAAATATGAATTATAACCATGATCTTCCCTAAAGAAAAAGCCAATGAATTGTTTGTTTACCTAAGAAAGGTCAAAAACTTGGTTTTGAAAAATGTGTATAACTGTTTAAAATTATGTATTAAGAATATTTGAAAACAAGTACATCTACGTATATTTTCCATGCATGCTTAGTTATATTTAATATTTTTCTTTTAAAGTAATAACAAATTTAAATGTTTTAGGTGCTTAGTCTAAAAACTTACATCATGTTTTAATTGAAAATTACATTAAAATAGAGAATCGTAATTGTTGATGTACTATTTTAGTCATTTGTAAAATGGAAATGGGAAGAGTGTTAATAAAGAAAATAAGCCACATTCTTGGAGACAGATTTTCTTTTCTTAAAAAAAAAAGGCCTTTTAAAAAATAAATACTTTGTGTTAGTGACTTAAATACATAGGACTAATGAATATTTTTGAATAATGCTTTTAGGCCTTGCTTATCCAAGAGTCAAGATGGAAATTGCCACACCTACTACAGTTGCCTGAAAATTATAACACCATTTTCCAGTACTACCACAGAAAAACCTGTAGTGTCTGCACCAAGGTTCCTAAAGATCCTGCCGTTTGCCTTGTTTGTGGTACTTTTGTATGCCTGAAAGGACTTTGCTGCAAGCAACAAAGTTACTGTGAATGTGTATTGGTAAGCAAGAGTAAATAGTATAAAATTTATGAAAACTCAGATCACATGGAAATGTGGTATATATGGTCAAGCCAGCTCTTCAAATTTAACTACTCTTGAATTAAATACACAATACATATAAGGATCTTGTTTTCGTTGTTGTTCTTTTAAATCCAGTAGAAGGGTAAAAACAAAAACAATGACAGCAACAAAAAAACACCTGGGGTTTTGTTTAAGCGGGTAAAACTTTTCCTAAGCTCAGCTTCAGTTCCTCTCCCTAATCCCGCTGCCCTTTAATGGTATATATGTTTAGATGTTGTGCTGTGAAACAGCAGCCATATATGCTGTTGTAGACACTAGCCTCTGAATTAGGTTTAGGTTAGCTCTTAATTGATTTCCTAGGTAATCCTTATCCAAATTCCTCCTCATGTATTGTTAATAAAGTATTAAGAATGAGTTAATAAATTTAACTTAGGTGAAATCTGATTTTAAAACATTTAAATATTTCTGTATTATTTAGAAGACAAGGCATTCTTGATTTTCTTATAAAGTCCACTTGATTATGAAGTTCACTCATATATTTTTAATTTTTTAGCATTCTCAGAACTGTGGCGCTGGAACAGGGATTTTCCTTTTGATCAATGCATCAGTGATTATCATCATTCGAGGGCACCGCTTCTGTCTCTGGGGTTCTGTGTATTTGGATGCTCATGGAGAGGAAGACCGAGATCTTAGGTTAGATGTGCATGGATATATCCACATGTCTTATTGAAGTTTGGCCAGTAAGAATAATGTACCATTCCTGACTTTGTAATTATAATAATAATTATTTTTTTATCTCTGGCAGTCATTAATTTAGAACTATTTCTATTTTGGGGGATATTTTCCCCATCATCATGTTAAAGAAATATGAAATAAACCAAATTACTATGTGAGATTTTTGCCATAAAGAATCTATTTTTTAAAATGTGTGTGAAATCTTCATTGTATTATATTACTTTTAATACTTTTTTTCCCTTTTTATTCTAGGCGAGGCAAGCCTCTCTACATTTGTAAAGAAAGATACAAAGTTCTTGAACAACAGTGGATTTCTCATACTTTTGATCACATCAATAAAAGATGGGGTCCACATTACAATGGGCTGTGACTCACCACCTTAGCATTGCATTATATCATTTTCATTAAGAATTTATCAACAATAAGCTTTAACTTAATTTGGGGGATTAACGCTTTTGCTGAGGGAAAGAAAGAAAACATACAGTATAAAGCCTTTCCAAAATTAGGTGCTTGGTAATCACATTAATGGTATAATAATTTTTTTTTAAGTATATGGAGAGCATAACAAGTAAGAAGTTAAACCATTCTTTAGTGGTCCTTTTTTTGTTTAAGTCCACAATTAATAAGAAGCACAACTTGTTGACAAAATCATTTAAAAATGATTCTCCCAACAATGCATATCTGCTATTTGTTGATATTTAGAGTGGGTGTGATTTATTTAAAGTTTTACTGCTTCTTTATATCTGTGTATTTTAATTTGCATCTGCTAAACGTAATGCATCCTTTCCCTCTGCCATTCTTGTGTTGATTTGAGATTTTTGCTGTATGTAATTAGAAAAAAATGTAAAACATGATTTATGTGAAATACTGTATAGTAAAATTTGGTCTAATAGTAGAACTTTACATTTTTTTCTTATTGTGAGGAATCTGTTAAAAGTTTAAGGCTTTGCTGAAAACTTAATTCATTCTCAGGAATTTCATAAATATTCTCCCCAGGTAAATAATTGAAATAGTTGTAAAATAAATAGATAGCTGCTGTTAATATAATACAGTACATTTTGGGGGACATGTGTGGTTGGGGGAGTCCCTAAAAATCAAAATTTGCCATTTCATTTGGATGAATCACTTGAGGTAGTAACAAACAGATTTTATTATAAAATCAGAAGTTTTAAGAACATATACATGGCAGATTTTGATTCTCTGCATGCCCACCTTTTATTACCAACCAAGTTTTTGTTTAAATGATTGGATTGGAAAAATGCTCTGACTTCCCCACAAATGAAGCATAGTTCTGGAACTTTCCTTATCAGCTCAAGGGGTTCATCTGTATTGTATCTGTGCAGTGTTATCATTGCTATTTCTGCTCGGTTTCCTAAAAGGGAAGAAAAAGGGCTCAGTGGTGATGATCCTCATGAATGAGCTGTACATCTGCATTCTTGTTAGAAGCTGCTGTGAAAAGCAATTTATGTTTGTAGGGTTTTTAAGTTAGTAAGAATGAAAATGATTGAGCTAAAACCCACTCTGTACTTACAGAGGGAAGATGACAGAAAAGCATGTGATATATTGCTACCAAAATTTTTCTTCCAAATGATTCAATAATTTGATGATTATTTAATATATAGTACTATCAAGCAATTCCTGGTACTTTGGACTTCCATGGCTTGTTATATAAAATTACATTTTTACATGTAAAAATAAACTAAAAAGCATCTAATGATAAACTATAAAAATAAAGTCAGATCTGTGTTCTAAAAATTATTGAATGACATGATATTACAGGATATAAAAGTGGACATTAAACGATGGCCTTGCATTAAAACAGAACAGTAAATATTCAAATATGTTCAAAAAGTCAAAAAATTACCTATAGCTCTACAATAAAAATAAAATATGGAAGTAGCTTGCTATTTTTATATACATTTCCAAAATATTAAGTTAACTTTCTGAACGACTAGAATGATTCTGTTTAATTAAACAGCTGTTCTTTCCAACACATTGCTACTTTTTTAAATACTGTATCATAAGTTCAGCCTGTCTTATTTTTTGCATCCGTCATTATGGATACCAGACCAGATACTTTTGTTCTTCAGGTGTGGTTGAAGAACAAAATGCTAATTTACATCTCTAGTAAATACTGTTACAGGATTCATGAACTTGAATAATTATACAGTTTGAAACTCTGATGCTATATATACATGGTATAATGTACTCAGACTTTGGTTACTACATATTTAAAATGGAACGTTTTATGGTTGTGCATACGGATGTGAAGTGAAAATATTAGCCTTAACATTAAAATTTGGGTATTTGATAGTGTTTATTTTGATATTGGTGAATTAGTCACCAGTAAAATTTTAAAAAGCACTTGGTTGAAAATTGTACTTGAATTACATACATGCATGCTGCTAAACTAGAACTTTAATTTTTTCCCCATAACTTTTATAAGTCCCGTTTATAAACCCACTTTTAAAAATAACAGGTCCAAGTTAGAGTGATGTGTGTATATTATTCAAAAAAATGTACTGGTGTGATACCTTGTATGAATGATCATTTAAATACAGTACATTACTGTAGAAGCTAAATCAATCTTTATAAGCAAAGCAGAAATTACAAAACTAGGAATAATCAACATTGTAAGATATGTTAATAAAAACCTACTGTCATTTGGTTTGTGAAAGGTCCTTAAAATGTTTAATTCTTACATGTTTTTCTTTTTTTTTCAAAGATATTGACAATAATATGTGTAAGTGAGCATAGATGAAAAGATCAAAGCGTAACATCATAGTTTCTGTAAGGTGGAGTAATATAAAGGGTTTGGTTTTCCTTTAACCACTTATTTACAGAGCTAGTTCCTGATTCTTCTGTCTTTGTCTCATAACTAATGCAAAGCCTTTGCTAAGTGTTCTTTTAGAATCAGGAAATGGGTGAAGGGAGAGGAAATGGGTTTTTAGAGAAGGAAAAGGATGTGCAGATCTGAAGGACACTGCTGTGGTCCTTTCTGCTTTCTGAGAATCCCCAGCTAAACTTCAGAAATCTGAAGGCTTTATGATAATGTTTATTTTGATTGATCTGTATCTTGTTTGAATTGACAGTCCTTGCCCCTACCCCTCCATCCTGTAGCTCACCAGCCAGTTATTAACTAGGAATCCATTTGTGCTCACAAACCTTTTTTTCTGTTTTATGTAATTTGATATTGATTTCTGTGACTTAGAAAATATGCTGACTGAAAGCACCGAAGGCTTGGAGGTAACAGCAGTATTAGAGGAGGTGTGGCCCAAGGGTTTCTGTAACATCTCCAGGATTGTCACTGCTAACTCTCAGGTTCCTGTTGTTGGCTTGCATTTGAGGTCATGTTGAACGACAAAAACAAACAAAACAAAACAACATGGTTTTAACCACTAGAATCAAAACACAAAGACAAGGTGCATTCACTGGTGGTTATGCCTGACACTTGATGGTTAGTGGGAGAGCAGAAGACTTGTGACTGTCTCAGTCCCATTCACAGCATGTAGTTCTTTCCTTTAACGTTATGATCTGGCTGGATGATATCACGCATTGCTTAGTTCATCAGGGATGAGCTGAATGGCAACGTGATCACTTCTCTATTCATGGCACTTCAAGCTCCCTTGGTAATGAGGCACATTAACTATGGAAGAGCTATTACCTACCATCCTAGTGTACAGTAATCAACTAGCAGTGGAGTGAAGCTAACTTCAACTGATGCAACTCAATGAAAAGGCATAATGGGACCTTATGTAGAGCTGCCTTTGTGTGAGTTAAATCAATGTAAAATGCAGCAATACCAAAATTGATGCAGCCGAGCCCAAGAGCAGGCTAGAGAAGTAGAGTCAGGAGCACAAATAAAAGCTTGAGGGGAAGAAAAAGGGACAAGAGAAAGGAAAAAAGTCTAGAGCAAAGAGGATTCATATCTGATTACCTCTTATTAGTGCAGAGAAGCAGATAAGAGTTGATAGTGGAACAGGCCTAGTATATGTGGGAGCTTGAGTTAAATGTTTAGACATATGGTAGGAGAGAATAGGCTAGAAATAAAGAGAGGTACCACAGAAGTCATACTGAGAGCCCAGTAGGGTTAGAAGCCATAACATCTAAATGGAAGCAATTAGAAAGGTTCTATGACTTTATAGGGCCCCTGAGATCAACAGGGTTTTTTTCTGATATCTGTTTATATTTACATGGTACATTTTAAGGCAATGGCTGCATTGGTCATACATAGTAGAAACCATAAAAAAGAGTTAAGAAGTAAAATGTACATCATACACTTATGTGTATATATTTTTTACAGAGAGGTAAAAAGGCTTATAAAAAATCAATACGGTGTGGTTTTTAGTATACAGTAAAGAATGGATTATCTTCTACATGATGATTAGGACCAGACTGACAAGGAGAAGAGAGGCCGATAGGAAGAAAAGAAAAAAAAAAAAAGCAAAATCCTAGAAGGAAGGGTATTTTAAGAGAGAGAAACCAGTAAACATTAAGTGCTGTGGAGAGGTTAAGTGACATATAAGCTACAAAAGAATTCATTGTATTTTGGACTAAGTGGTATCCCTGATGAGCATAGTTTTGATGAAATGGTAGCGGTAGAAGCCAAGGTATAGCTTCTGGAGGTGAGAAAGTAGAAATTTGACAATGAAGTCTAGAGGCGTAGAACACAATTTTCTAACTCTCCCTAGAGTGTCCAGGACTTATCTGTGTCTGCAGGACACCTGGTCATGTATGCATCAAAATCTACTTCCAATTGGTTTTTATTCTTACTCAGATGGTATGTTACCATCTGAGTCTAGGCCATAGAGTCAACAGACCTGGGTTTGAATTACCTCTCTTTATCTCAGTATAGTTAGGAATATGCCCTTTTTCAAACAACAAAAACCTGGCTAAGCAATGGCTTGAAGAAGGAAGGGGTTTATTAGTTTCAAGTAAAAGGAAATTTGAAGGTAGGCAGACCAGAAAGGGGCACCTGCACAAGGAAATCGTTATGGATCTAGGTTTCCTGTTTTTCTTTCCTGCATTGTTAGAGTGTATCATTCAACCTCATGGCTACTATGAGGATGAAAGCAAGATGACTGCTAACCTTGTTTTCCAGGCAGGAAAATAGGACAAAAGCTTCTTCCTAAGGTTTTGTCCTTTGTTTAGCAAGGGACGTCCTTTCCCAGCACACTTTTCATATCATTAGTCAGTACTGTCAGATGGCCACTACTAAATGCAAAGAAATCTGGGAAGGTAAGTGTTTTGACTTTTGAGCCCCAGTGCTAGAGAAATATAAGGGGAAAAACAGACTGAGTGGCTTGTAGATAGCTAATTCAATGCCTGCCACGCTTCGGTTTCTCATCTGTGCAGGGGAGACAATAGCTAATACATGATTAAATGAATATAGACACTTCTGGATTCTAGTAATTGCAGATTAAGTGATTCCGACTGTTATCTATTGCTGTGTAACAAATTACCCGAAGATTAAAGCAGTACAACAGTGTTCGTTAGGTCACAGTTCTGTGGATCAGAAATCCAGGAGTAGCTTAGCTGGGTGGCTCTGGCTCAGTCTCTTACGAGGCTGCAATCAAGGTGTAAGCCAGGGCAGCAGTCATCTGAGGCTTCTGAGTATCATATGGATACTGTAAAGGAATCAAAATTATATAACTATCTCCAAGCTTCTCTTTTCTTATGTGACATTCGGGTCATTTTTTTCAATGACCTTTACATTTCTTCAGATCAATGCCCTTCACTTTGGTTTTAGTTTTTCCAAAGGGGATATCCCTGGTGAATGACTATGTAGAGATGATTCCATCATCTTGTAGACCCAGGTCTACACATACTGATTGCTTGCCTTAAAATGGATGTTATAGGCAAGCAATTTCTCCTAAATGTTCTTGTTTATTTAAAGGAATAGCTGCTTCAAAGAAATTAATTTCTCCCTAATTTCCCACTATTAATTACCTGTAAAATAAAAAGTTTATTTTACCATTCTCATCTATGATATGGTTCTCATCTATGATATTACCATACAGTAACTCTGCTGTTAAAAAAATTCATCACATAATTTTACTTCTCCATAAGATGATATACGCAGTAAGGTTCTTTCAGATGTGTGAGGGAAATTAAACTCTTGGTTCTTCTATGTCTTTTCTCCTATTTGGTGCTTGGGATACTGATTTTATTTTATAGAGGGAAATAAACAAGACTTCATGGTAGCTAGCAGGTCTGACTCCTATCACAGATGTTTTTAGGCATTTCCAACCCTGTTTTGTAAGCTCACTGATATTTAGTCTGGTATGTTGGGGAAATTTTTACAACAAAAAGGTATTTTATCCTAACATTGGAGTACACTTCCCGTATCTCAGCTATCCCGTAATTTTTTTTTTTTTTTTTTTTTTTTTGCGATACATGGGACTCTCACTGTTGTGGCCTCTCCCATTGCGGAGCACAGGCTCCGGACGCGCAGGCTGAGCGGCCATGGTTCACGGGCCCAGCTGCTCCGCGGCATGTGGGATCTTCCCGGACCGGGGCCTGAACCCGGGTTCCCTGCATCGGCAGGCGGACTCTCAACCACTGTGCCACCAGGGAAGCCCTATCCCGTAATTCTTCATACCAACTCCACTAGATGGCGCAGTAGAGCGAGCGCTAGATCAGAACCCTGAGTTGCTGGAGGGAGAAAAGCGAAGCCTGTGAACTAATTATACTAGTGATAGAGAAAAGCATTTGTGAAAGCACTTGCTCTGTTGCAAATAATCTGAAATGGATGAATAAAGAGTGGGAGTGTCCCCAGTGGTCAGCATTTTTGACAAGATAGAAAGATGGGAGAACATTTGAAAATAGCACAATTTGAACAAATGCCTCTAAGGTGAGGTTGATTGTGTTATTACTATTGGTGTTCACTAGGACACACACACACACACACACACACACACACACACACACACACACACACTGCCCTCCTCCTCCGACAGGAATCCGTGTTTATCAGTTTACTTCCTAAAGCTCATCCTTCCCCCCCCTTTTTTTTCTCTCTTTGAAAATATTTTCTTCCTGATCTCATCTCAGTTTTGGCCAGTTTGTGGCTCTAGCTGTAATCCCTTGGACTCTTTTGATACACTTTTCTCCCATCAGTATTATCAGTTTTATTCAAGAAACATTTTAACAGCCTGCTGTTTGTAAAGCCTTGCCTTAGATGTCGGGTATACAGAGGAGAGAAGTGAGCTAATGACTGTGAGTAAGAAGACATTGTGCTTGGCATTTTGTCCACATTATACTGTTTAATTCTTATAGCAACCCTATTAGACATTATTTCCCCATTTTACTGATGAAGAAATTAGGCTGAGAGGCTAATTAGTGCAACATCACACAGTCAGTAAAGGAGTTGGAACGCAAACCCTAGTTTAACTCAAACTTATTGTCTTCAGTATTTTGCAATATCAAAAATGATTAAGGTGGCCACAATGTTAAAAATGTACATGAACCATATTTCTAGACAGACTTAAATAATTGTTAGAATGAAGTTCCAACAATTGGGAATTGTTGGGAATTCCCAATTCTTGGGAATGCCAAGAAAGATTCATTCCATCTGGGAGATCAAAGAAGGCTCAACCAAGAAGATGGCTTTGAAAGTGGCCTTGAAGGATGCATAGGATTTTATTAAACAGGTAAAAGCGATTGGGGCCTTCCGGGCTGA